CATCATCGAGTAAAATTAAAAAAAAAATACCAAGTTGTAGCTACGCCCACTTTCTTTCGCAGTCAACTGTTTCTGACTGTTAGTGAAACAAGTTGGGTGTCATGCATTGAATAACGTAAATACTTGTAGTTGTTAAACTATTCTTTTTACTCGTCTGTGAATTACTGAGAATTAATAGAATATATGCAGATCCATTACTCCATGGAGTAAAAGCAAAAAAGTAGTGTTGGCGAGTGAAATTGAGAAATTGAAAACTGAATACCGGTACAACAAGTCATTGTTAATGACACAGTCCCTGTCCAAAATTTTGTGATCTGACATATTAATTTGATGCTGATGAAGTCATTGAGATTAGATTGAAACCATTAATAGGAGATGGATTTGTAAAAAATTATGACTTTTACACAAGAATTGGACATTGGGCATTGGGCATTGAATCAAATTCCAAAATTAATGTTCATGTTGATATATCTATTGGTATACTGTCTTTGTACAAAATTTAAACAGAAATGTTCATTGCATATGTATGCAAGACATTATGTAGTGTCTTCATGTAAAGTTTGAATGAAATCCGTAAATAGGTGTCCGAGATATATCCGGACGGACGGACGGACGTACGTACGTACGAACGGAACAAACCCAAATTAATAGTCCCCGTTTTCGGACTTGTTCGAACGGGAACTAAAAATAAAATATCAAATGAATTCAGTCTACTGTGAATGTGTCTTTCAATACTAGACGACATCAAAGAAAACAACCCAAACAAATGACACATGAAAAACTATTTCTCTTGTCATAGATGATTTTCATGTTGATTTATATGTATCAGAGAGCAAACTCAAAATACAAAATTGTAAGTCAGGATGACAGGTCACAAAATTAACATACAGCATAATATATATGATTTATGCTTTATTGCTGTTGAAGTTTATTTAAGATAGTCAATAGACAAATTGGAACTTGAAAGCATTCTTCACAACTGTGTCCTACTACATGCACCATTTTACCACATCAGTCACAACATGCAAGATTTCCAGATTTCCTTGACTTTTGCCATATGGCTTTCTTTTATGCTATTGTTGACAAAATTACTTTTCACACATAAAAATGTGTGAAATACCCAAAAAAGGGTGATGTTTATTCATCGTAGCTCAAAATACCGTTCTGATATATATGGTAACAAATTTTATTGAAAAGATTTGAATAGCAAAATAAAAGTAAGAAAAAAATCAAATGTACTAGTATTAGTAGTCAATAAAATAAAAATGCACACTTTTCATTAATTTGCAAGGGAAACGTACATATCTAGAAATCCTAATGCAAATTATTGAAGAAATGGTCGTGTTCATTTCAGACAGTTTTTGGTAGAGTCCTTATCCTTATTAGTTTTTGAATGAGGCGATAATCTCACTAATTTTACACCATCCAACATTTCCACACATCCACTGTGCATTCAGTGATGGTATTGCTAGGGACTATGCGTGATTGACATGCACTAACAACATAGTTTTCAAACATTTGCAAATTGCAAGGGTTCTCTTCTCATGAGATCTTCATTGCAGATAACAGCACATGGTTATGGAAGTTGCATATCCTTATCTTATAAATCCTCAATGCAATGAATCTTATGTTAGCCTAGCACGTCATGTGATGAACATCCTATGAAAATAATGAACTCCACACTCATATTTGATTGTGAATGTATAGAATCCAAATATGTTGGCCAATAGTGTGAGTAACACACTGGACGTTTGTCTGCGGCAGGAATTTACATTTGTAGGTCTGATTTAAATACATGTTAAAAATTATATTTTTATAATTCAATAATAATAATAACTTTATTACTCAACAATTACCATCTGTGGGTAATGTATGGTAAGAAAAATACAACAATAAAGAGACAATTACAATAACAATACTTTAAAGAATTACAAAAAAAAAAACACGTTATTTTTTGTATATTGTTTGTTTTAGGTATTTATCTAGTGGAAAATTATTGTTGCATATTGTCACGAGGTTGATTTAAATATTTGGATAAATTATACATATGTCTAAATGTCGGGTTCCAAATATCACTCGTGTTGCAGTTTTTTTTTACCCGTACCAAATGAATTGTTTATACCTCTGAATGTATAGAATGGTTGTGACCAGTTCAGCAATATGTTTGGGAATACAAACATACAAACACAGCATACTAGAGAAGACGACTAATCAGTAACAGGTAAATGAATTTAATTAATCACGGAAAACAAATGCATTACA